GAAGCTTGGGCCCGCTGGAGCCCCCTTTGGACCCATCTTGGGCACTTCCGGGGACCTCCCATGGCCCTTTTGGGTCTGTGCTGGGAGCCCTTGGGGGGCCTCTTGGTTCCATTATGGGCTGTCTTGGGGCTCTCGTGGGCGATCGTGGGGCCCGGCTCGGCCGTCTTGAAGCTTTCTTGGGGGCCTGTTGGGGCGTCTGGAGGCGATCTCGGGGGCTTTGACACCGTCTTGAAAGCTGATGAAATCCGAATGGCGAAGATGCTAAAATTGCAAGTTTTACGAAGGGAATGGGACGACTTTTGTAGTTTGAAGGCCCCTTGGAAAGCTTTTTGGGGTGCCTCGGGGGTCTTTCTGTTGGCATTCGGAAACATTGTGGGGGTGTTTTCGGGGCCCTCGTGGACCGTTTTGGCGACTTCATGGGCCGTCCTGGGGCCTTCTTGGGCCGTCTTGAGAAGCTTGGGCCCGCTGGAGCCCCCTTTGGACCCATCTTGGGCACTTCCGGGGACCTCCCATGGCCCTTTTGGGTCTGTGCTGGGAGCCCTTGGGGGGCCTCTTGGTTCCATTATGGGCTGTCTTGGGGCTCTCGTGGGCGATCGTGGGGCCCGGCTCGGCCGTCTTGAAGCTTTCTTGGGGGCCTTTTGGGGCGTCTGGAGGCGATCTCGGGGGCTTTGAAACCGTCTTGAAAGCTGATGAAATCCGAAAGAATGCTAAAATTGTAAGTTTTACGAAGGGAATGGGACGATTTTTGTAGTTTGAAGGCCCCTTGGAAAGCTTTTGGGGTGCCTTGGGGGTCTTTATGTTGGCATTCGGAAACATCGTGGGGGTGTTTTCGGGGCCCTCGTGGGCCGTTTTGGCGCCTTCATGGGCCGTCCTGGGGCCTTCTTGGGCCGTCTTGGGGAGCTTGGGCCCGCTGGAGCCCCCTTTGGACCCATCTTGGGCACTTCCGGGGACCTCCCATGGCCCTTTTGGGTCTGTGCTGGGAGCCCTTGGGGGGCCTCTTGGTTCCATTATGGGCTGTCTTGGGGCTCTCGTGGGCGATCGTGGGGCCCGGCTCGGCCGTCTTGAAGCTTTCTTGGGGGCCTTTTGGGGCGTCTGGAGGCGATCTCGGGGGCTTTGACACCGTCTTGAAAGCTGATGAAATCCGAATGGCGAAGATGCTAAAATTGCAAGTTTTACGAAGGGAATGGGACGATTTTTGTAGTTTGAAGGCCCCTTGGAAAGCTTTTTGGGGTGCCTCGGGGGTCTTTATGTTGGCATTCGGAAACATCGTGGGGGTGTTTTCGGGGCCCTCGTGGGCCGTTTTGGCGCCTTCATGGGCCGTCCTGGGGCCTTCTTGGGCCGTCTTGGGGAGCTTGGGCCCGCTGGAGCCCCCTTTGGACCCATCTTGGGCACTTCCGGGGACCTCCCATGGCCCTTTTGGGTCTGTGCTGGGAGCCCTTGGGGGGCCTCTTGGTTCCATTATGGGCTGTCTTGGGGCTCTCGTGGGCGATCGTGGGGCCCGGCTCGGCCGTCTTGAAGCTTTCTTGGGGGCCTGTTGGGGCGTCTGGAGGCGATCTCGGGGGCTTTGACACCGTCTTGAAAGCTGATGAAATCCGAATGGCGAAGATGCTAAAATTGCAAGTTTTACGAAGGGAATGGGACGATTTTTGTAGTTTGAAGGCCCCTTGGAAAGCTTTTTGGGGTGCCTCGGGGGTCTTTCTGTTGGCATTCGGAAACATTGTGGGGGTGTTTTCGGGGCCCTCGTGGGCCGTTTTGGCGCCTTCATGGGCCGTCCTGGGGCCTTCTTGGGCCGTCTTGGGAAGCTTGGGCCCGCTGGAGCCCCCTTTGGACCCATCTTGGGCACTTCCGGGGACCTCCCATGGCCCTTTTGGGTCTGTGCTGGGAGCCCTTGGGGGGCCTCTTGGTTCCATTATGGGCTGTCTTGGGGCTCTCGTGGGCGATCGTGGGGCCCGGCTCGGCCGTCTTGAAGCTTTCTTGGGGGCCTTTTGGGGCGTCTGGAGGCGATCTCGGAGGCTTTGAAACCGTCTTGAAAGCTGATGAAATCCGAAAGGCGAAGATGCTAAAATTGCAAGATTTACGAAGGGAATGGGACGATTTTTGTAGTTTGAAGGCCCCTTGGAAAGCTTTTTGGGGTGCCTCGGGGGTCTTTTGGGCCGTTCTGACGAAATTGGAGTCCCTCTTGGAGCGCTCTTGTGCTGTCTGGGGCCTCCCTTGAGCCTTTCTGATGAACCCTCGGATCGCTCTGGGTCTGCTGGCAAGGCGTTTGTGGTGACCCGGAAAGCCGGGTGACCTTTTCCAAGGACGTCCAAGGGAGCCCGAGAACCCCAGATCTTGGGGGTCCAGTTTTGCGGGGGTGGGGGGGTGAGGGTGTTCCCCCCCCCCCCCGGGCTTGCAAAAATATAGGAAGAGGAATATCCGAGTGAGGGGAACCGAACGGTCATTCACTGTCCCTGGGCGCGTGGCTGAAGTGAGGTTCCGCTGTGCGGATTGTTGTTGTTGCGTCATGTGTTGTTTGTTGTGTGCTGTCGTCGTCCCACCCGCGACCCTGCCCGCGACCCATCTGCGACCCACCCACGAGCCACCCGCGACCCATCCGCGATCCACCCGCGACCCACCCCGCGACCCACCCGCGACCCACCCCGCGACCCACCCGCGACCCACCCCGCGACCCACCCGCGACCCACCCCGCGACCCACCCGCGACCCACCCGCGACCCACCCGGCGACCCGCCCGCGACCCTGCCTGGACCCATTCGCGACCCACCCTCGACCCACCCGCGACCCAGCCCGCGACCCAGCCCGGGACCCACCCGCGACCCACCCGCGACCCGGCCCGCGACCCAAACAAATTGTTTTGACGAACAGATCGGCGCTTGCGTCGGGCTCTTTGTATAATTTGGCGCCTGCGGCGGGCTTCTTCACAGCCTTCCAGACTGCCGACGTCCCCGCCGCCCCCTCACTCTTGTCCGCAACTGCGGGGTGCTACGCAACTGATCTGGGACCACACGCTCCAGCTTATGGTAGGCGGATGCCCCCTGCCTCCGGCACCGCTGCGGTCACCACCCACGCGCACCCACCCATCCGCCCGCCTGATGTGGTGCCCTGTCTTCCACGAAAGTGACACGTCGGACGGCCCACCAGAAGGCCAGGAGTTGCTGGATCGGCTCGGAAGGGCCCAAGGCAGGCCCGTCACGGTGCGCACGCGTGCAAGTCCCTTCCATTTGCTGGGCGAGGGCTACGACAGCTTTAGGACGGGTGTCATGCTGGGTGGCAGATGGATCCGTACATAACGGTTCGAGCAGGATCCGCAAGCCATCTTTTTTCAAGACGGTGTGGAAGTTTCTTGTCACACTTTGTGGGCGATAACCCGGTTAGGCAGCATGGACATGTTCCGTTTGCTAGCAAAGCGCGTCCAAAACACGTTTTCGGAGATTTGGTTTGTCGCAGTACACGGGGGGAATTTTAGCAGATTGAGGCAGGGAGTTTGCGAAATCAGGTGTTCGCGCAATCCAGTTGCACTCCCGCCCTTTCTTTATTCTCGTCAAGACAGGGACGAGCTCTGCCTCGGTGGTCCTGCTACGCGCTCGTGGCTTGCACCGGTCCTTCTGCCAGCATGGAAGCGAACATGGAGTGAGCAAGGTTTCCAGAGGCCTCCGGGAACATCCGGGGACCTCCAGGGACCCACAAATCCAATGTCGTGATTTTTTCAATACGGCCCTCCCAGAAGTCGCGACCCATTCCCCGGGACCGGTTTTCCATTCTGAATCGTTTTGGACGGTCTCGGGGACTGGCGAGGGCCTCTGGAGGCCGAAATCGGCGAAGAACCTCCGTCCTGATTTTTTCAATACGCTGGATCTCTGGGGACATCATGTTGTGCCCCGGGCCGAGGCCCCTCTGCTTGCCGCCTGGAATTTATGGCGAGGGCTCAGACATCTCGTCGCGAGAAAGAGTCAGAAGAGAACGATCTGACGGGGTCCAGAGCGCGGGTCGGGGGGGGCTGGCGAGAAAAGCAATTACGAGGTCTGGGGGAGGCCCCGACATCCAGACGTCATGGAGAAGTCACGACGGGTGCTTGTTGCTTTGGTGGTTTGGCAGGTTGTTCTGGCTCGACAACTCACGTTCAAACGCGGGCCCCAAAGCTCTGGTAGTTTTTGCTTCACGGCGTTGTTGTTTTACGACGTCGGGTGTAGGGAGCGACATCACCACAGATACTCTTGGACCAGTCTGGAAATTCTGAATACATACATAAATCTCGAGGGGGACACCCATTACTTCCGCCCGCCTTCCGCGGGAGCCTGTGCAAGTAAAACGAGGGCGGCCGACCAAGCGGAAGTTGTCGGAGGCCAGCGAAAGTAAATCGATCAAGAAAAGATACAATCAAGATGCTGAAATACAAACCACTTTGGGCTGAGGAGGGGCGCCTGTTTTCCCGCCGTTCCGTAGGCTTCGGTCGGGGTGGGAACATATTTGTGGCCGAGCCTCGATGTGGCAGGGAAGGCCCCTTCTTTGTCTACGCAGGTCCACGCGGATTTCTTGCGTCGGCGCTGAACATCGCCTGGCGGCGTCTCGGCGCCGCCCCTGGCGCGCTCCGCGGGTCAGAAGAGGGGTCCAGCGCCAACTCAGGAGATCTGCGCGGACCTCCGAAAGTGTTTCTTTATGACGCGTTTCTTCTGGACAAAAAGAGTAAACGATGGCGCCCTCAAGCCTTCAAGTTGGACTTCATCAAGGGTCTCAGTTGGCCAGAGTAACTCGTCCACACCAGTTGCTACTCTCTGACGTCACTTTGGTTCAGGATTCTGGTTGGAGCCAGTTTTCTGTTGGAGAAATGGAATACTGTTCACCCTCCTTCTCCCAAGCCTCCCTGCTCGTCCGCGTGCTCCTAGTGCACGCTGAGGCACCACACAGCCCGTTGAAAGGTTGGGAAGTGAGGGACAGAGTGAGTTGATTATCACTGATCTCCCCCTCCAGTCCCCCCCATTGCTCCGCATTCAACGCGGGGCAGCTCCGGAACAAGCCCACGGTGTGGTTCGCGATCATCGACCAGGAGGAGGCCCTCCCGACCTTGGGCGTGCCCTCGGTGGGGGGACGGGCGACCTCATATTGGCCCACGCTAGGGACGAGGAGCTGGAGGCTCGGCCCGACTCAGCTCCGCCGCGGAACTCTATTGCTCAGCTGTTCCCACCTCCTCAAGAGGAAAAGTGCACGCTCGGTCTGGGCCCCAGGTACAAGCTTTATCGGGTATCGCAGGGACCCGATTGCCGCATGCTTGGGCAAAGCGCGACGTGGAACGAGCAGTGATTTAACGCCAGTTGAGCGAGGACGCCTCGATGACGCACAGCACGAGCGTGCCTTCCGATGGGGTCCGCTGGGCGGGGGCAGGTGCTCTTACAGTTCACCATGCAGTGGCTGCACTGAGGGGTCTCTTGCTTGCTTTGGCAGCCAGCTCGCCCCTGCTTGCCGGGTCCCAGCAGCGGGTGCCAGGAGTGTGGCGGCATGGGTCACGTCAGTGGGTGCTATCGGTGTGGGAGCCCCCGCGTCGCGATGATTGTGATGTTTCCCGGCCATCCTGTGTGTTAGGTTCTCGTTCTGAATCCGCAGCGCCGCGCGTCTCCTCCCATCTTCTTCCCCCTCTTCTTCCTCTTCGTAGTTGTCATCAGCATCAGCGGTGGCCCAATAGGGAGGTCTACCAAAGGTCCCAGTGGCAAGGTTTGGTGGCGTCCACCGAAGGCCCTAATGGCTACGTTCGCATAGCGGCCCCGCCCCATTTCGGCACACGCCTCACACGCTTCGTGGCCCCAAAGAGAGCTCCACCGAGGGCCTCAGTGGCTGCGTTCGCATGGCGTCCCCGCACGATCTCACACCCCTCACACGTTTCGTGAGCACCTCTAAGGAGCTTCACCGAGGGCCCCACTGGATGCGTTCGCATGGTGGCCCCCGCACCATTCGGGTACACCCCTCACACACTCCGTAGGTTCCTAATCGAAAACGCCTACGGCGAATCACCGCTGCCCCCTGCCTTTTGGAATCGCCCATGTGGCCGAGCGTTGTGGCAAGAGTTTTGCCAAGCTATCGAACCATGTGTTCCCCCAGCCGTTGTGGAAACCCTTCGGGGAACACTTGGGGGAGGGATGGCGGGGAAGATCAGGAGAAGGAGGAGGAGGAAGAGGAGGAGGGGGCATCTTGGGAGCTTCTGGGGGCACTCTTGGGGCCTCCTGGGAGCTTCTTGGGGGCCTCCTTGAGCCTCTTGGAATCTTGGGGCCTCCTTAGGCCTCTTGGGGGCCTGTAGGGGCTTCTCGGGGGCCATCTTGGGCTGTCTTGATGGGCTCCTGGCCTGTCTGGCGCCGTCGGAAGCCGTCTCCGGAGCATCTCTGGGCAGACTTGGGGGCTATCTTGAGCCATTTGGGAGGTAACCCTGGGCTCTCTGAGGCCTTCTTGGAGCCATCTTGGGCCATCTTGGACGCTCCAACTCCTCGCGAAACTCCCCCTCCAAGTCCAGGGGAGGGAGTAGGGGGAGGGGTTAAGACACCATCCTAGATAGCAAGCCGTCTAGCTCACTCCCACCTGCCCTCCCAACACACAAGTAACACCCGAGCCTCTACATGTTCAGCGGTCGTCTTGAGATGGGCAACTCTTGGGAGCCAAAACCGAGCCCTCGTGCGCGACGCTGGGGCGAGGTGCGCCACGCGTGCCAGGCGCGCCACGCGCCAGGCCGCCCCCTGGGGCCCGAGCGTGCCAGGCACGCCTCGTGCGCCAGATGCGCCACGTGCCTCCGCGTGTGCCAGGGTTGCCGCATACTCCAGCCGCGCCAGGTGCGCCTGCGGACGTGACAGCACGTATCGGGAAGCATGTCGGCCCCAACCATCCATGTCGAAGACCAGTGCCCATCGTTGTGTCTGGGGGGCCTGCGCACAGCAGGCCACACGCCACAACTTGACGGTGATCGCGGGGTGGCCGCGCATGATCCAGATTTGGCCGCGGGATGCATTGTGCACTGTTTTTCGTAAGGGAACGTAGCCCTGCGCGCTGCAGGCAATACGCTGACACACCCGCCGTGAAAAAACAATACAAAGTGCTCGTGGGCCTCACGAACATGACTCTGGATTTTGCCCCAAAGTGTATGTTGTATTGTTGTTTACAGGGATGGTGGGAGGGAGCCCTCATAGGGGTTATCATTGTTCCTGGTTGGCTGCCGGTCGCCTGGGGGAGGTGGTGTATATGAATAGCGAACGGTGAGACACCCCACCCCCCTACCCGAATGGGAAGAAGTGGGGTGGAAGAGAGAGCTTTCTAGACCACCTACGCCCAGAGGGCTAGTGTTAAGCACCTCCATCGCCGACACATGGACATCAACATCGTCATCGTCATCACCAGCATCGCCGCCGTATTTGGCATCGCCGTCGTCATCGTCTTCATCACCACCACCATCGCTACTATCATTATCGTTGCCGCCTTTGTCTGCGACATCATGATACCGCGCCTGCCCGAGTCACCGACCCGCAATGAAGTGCGGGTACGCCAGCTTACTGCTCTGCGCGTGAGCTTTCGCGTGTCAGCGCGGCCGCCAGGATCCGCCAGCCAGAGCCAAGCAGTCATCGCAGTCGCGGCCGCATGAGTTTTGCAAAACAAGTTGCGGGTGGGAGGACTTAATGTTTGCGCGAGCAGCAGGGGTGACAACTCATGAGTTGAGGCAAATAGCTTCACCCTATGGATTGCACCTCAATGTGTATACAGAATTCTGTGCGTGTAACAATTTTCGCATGTGCGTGTGCACGCACACACACACACATGTATACGTACATGTGTGTATGGATGTGCGTGTGCAGTTATACATGCATACGTGCACATTTCGAGGTCGATATATAGATGTGTATATGGATAGGTGTATGTCTATATATATATATACAGATACATGAGTATGTCTGGAGCCATAGACATATACACAAGTATACGCGCGCACGCATTGCAATGCATTGTTTGCACCACATAAATTTCCCCAAAACAGGTGGTCCAGATCAGGTGATACCACACGGATACCACCTCATAAGTTGCTCCCCGGTTGTGCACCGCAGACTCTGCACGTTACAGGTTGCCATTGCGTACGCAACGCAGGTCGCACCCCGGAGATTGAACCGGCAAGTTGCACCCGATGTTCGCCACGCGAGTTAGTTAATTGGGGCCCACGTGTTGCCGTCATTATGACGCGAAGAACGGCGGGCGCATCCTCGACCGACCCTGGAGGTACCATGTACCTCCCTCTATGTGCGAATCAATATCCAGAGGAGGAACGCCTGCCAGGGAAGGGCGACCGTCCGCTCGCGGCGCCGATTGCGCGATATGCCATCCGCACCGGTTCCCGCCAGGTGCCGTGCAGGGCTTCTCTTGGGTGCACGCCCTTGCCCCCGTGCCAAACCTCTGCACGCAGCCGTCGTCTTCCCCGTGCTCGATGCGGAGGCACCCCGTGGCGCGCAGTAAGCAGCTGAGTCGCACCTTTTGCATGCTCCAGAAAAGGGACCTCCGGGGCCACGGTCGCGGCTCGAGTCTGCCTGTCCTCGGCCTGCGGACCCACCGTGCAGGCCGTCTTCGGGCCCCGGGGCCATCCACGACGCATCCTGGCCGAAAAGGCACCCCCGCGGAGGGGGTCGAGGCCTCTGGGGCGCGGGTTGAACACGTGCCGAGGCGCATGCCCGGGAACGCCACGGCCTCTTCGTGCCAGGGGCCCTCGGCCGCTCGCCCCGAGCGGTTCCGGCGCGGGCGGCGGCAGGAGCCCGGGGAAGCCGCTCTTGGACACCGCTCCGACGCCTCCTCCTCCTGCTCCTCCTGCTCCTCCTCCTCCTCATTCTCCTCTTCCTCCTCCTCCTCCTCCTTCTCCTCCTCCTCCTGCTCCTCCTCCTCCTCCTCCTCTTCCTCCTCCTCCTCCTAGAGGAGGTGCCCTCCATCTACCAGCCTGGAACAGATCCCCATCCCTCTGTTCGGCATCGCCTCATCACGGTGGCGGTCTCAGGGATGTACCCTCAGCTTCTGAGGGTGCACCCCCAAGACTGGCATCGCCTTTGGGCGTGCCCATCTCAGGGACAGGGATGAGCTCGAGGCTGGTGATCCCTCTCCTCCGACTTCGCATCATCCGTTGGTGAGAAGAGAGTCCCGACGGGAGGCTTCCCCCCCCCGTCTCCCCCAGCTCCGGGGCCCCTCGCCGGGCCCCAGGGCCGCCACAGAACGATTCGGGATGAAGGACCGGTCCCAGAGAGCCCGGCACCCGGAAGCCGGGGGCACCGTTCAGGAGGGGAGAAAACACACAGACACAATTGCAGTGGGGGCGCGCATGAAGAAACCATATGCTTTTCGCCAGGGTATCTTGGGTTTCTTCGCTCCTCGCGCTGCGCGGCGACTTCCCGCAGCCGTTGAAGGAGCTACTGCGTTCAGGGTGCTCCAGGTTTCCCTTCAGGTGCACCTCGCGCACGGGTTCTCAGGGTTGGGATTCTTGCGAGGGTTTCTTGCGGCCGCGCCCGCACTGTAATCGTCGATCCTTAGGAAAAGATGGGAGAAGAAGGGCAGCGGGGGGAAGACACAAGCCCAGAAAATATGGAACATGTGGGGAATCCTGGGATTTGTATGCATCCTAGTCTCCCCCTTCGGATAAGATCCAGAGGGCCCACGATGGTCCGCGACGTTTCACAATGACTACAAGATACTTTTCCAATACATCTATCAGAATTTATTGAGCGTCGCCTTGGGAAACATGAAGTTTGCGCGGATGAGAAAAAAAAACAAAAAAATGCATCTATTTGTGTATCCCAGGGCTCCTTTCATCGCGGCCCCCCGTCGTGGCCGCTGCGCGGCTCTGCCCGGAGCCTCCTGCCGCGAGGGCGCCGCCCCTTCCCTCCGAGACAGGGGGAGGGCGGAGCAGACCCAGACCTCCGCGCGTCGTGAAAAAATCACGACGGGAGGTTTTTCGCGATTTTCGGCCTCTGAGCCCTCCCCGGGCCTCGGGAGCGTCAAAAAACGACTCAGGACGAAGAACCGGTCCCGGGGAAGGGGTCCAGACCTCTGGGGGTCGACGTCGTGAAAAAATCACGACGTCGGGGGTCTGGGGAGGGGCGCCCCCA